TTCTCATGATCTTTTATCAGTGAATTTCGACAACAAACGAGATTAATAATTATAATTTAGGACAGCTTAGCCCTAACTATTCTAAGCTTTAACTACTATAAGCCTAATCATTATGATCCACAAATCACAACTTTTTTTTCACATTTAGCCCAATTTTTTCATATTATTAATATCGTTACCATTATCTTATCATCACCATCATTTTCATCATCATCATAATCATCATTAATTTACAGTTATTACTACTACAGTAGTAGTAGTAGTTGTAGTAGTAATGGTAGTAGTAGTGGTAGTAGTAGTGGTAGTGGTAGTGGTAGTAGTAGTAGTGGTAGTAGTGGTGGTAATAGTGGTAGTAGTAGTGGTAGTAGTAGTGGAAGTAGTAGTGGTAGTAGTAGTGGTAGTGGTAGTAGTAGTAGTAGTGGTAGTAGTAGTGGTGGTGTAGTAGTAGTAGTAGTGGTAGTAGTAGTGGTAGTGGTAGTGGTAGTGGTAGTAGTAGTGGTAGTAGTAGTAGTAATAGTAGTAGTAGTGGTAGTAGTAGTAGTGGTAGTAGTAGTGGTAGTGGTAGTAGTAGTGGTAGTAGTAGTAGTAGTAGTAGTAGTGGTAGTGGTAGTAGTGGTAGTAGTGGTAGTGGTAGTAGTAGTGGTAGTAGTAGTGGTAGTAGTAGTAGTGGTAGTAGTAGTGGTGGTAGTAGTAGTGGTGGTGGTAGTAGTAGTAGTAGTACTAGTAATAGTAGTATTAAACCAAACTAAACGCTTGAAAAATTGAACACATACTGATACATATCATATTTCTGCCGTACTCGCACGAATAAGCGCCCGGGCGCTTAAAATATTTTTTCCACTTTCTGAGGGGCGCTTTATATTCAAACGGGGTGCTTATTTAAACGGGGCGCTTATGAAAACAGAGTGGAAATTGAGGGGGCACTTATCGAAATAGATGAAAATCGAGGGGTTCTTATGGGAAATTATTAAATTCAAGAGGCACCTTTTGAATGATAAAAGATTATATAAGGACATTAGGAATGGTGGTTAGAAAAGATAATCGTCCAGAGACCATGGTTCATGACAAGAATGCCTATATTTACATAACAGCAAAATAGCAGATGCAATTAGTGGTGGTGGGTAGTGGTTAGCTTGTTGGCCATCGATTAGCAGGATGGCAGGATCATTGTATTTTTTCTTGAAAACTCAGATTAGAATGTGCTAAAGGTCGGAAAAAGAAGAGGAGTAGGACTGGGCATAGACAAATAGTGTAAAAAGAGTAAAGTTGGAAATGTACTGTCTGTCCAAGGATCGGAGCTCTCATCTGTCGAAGAGAATTATCCTCATTTTGATATTGACCGAAGAAGAATGTGTTTCCCCTCTACAGCTCAAATCATGCCAACAACCACAGTCCCAGGATTGGTTGGATTATAATTGACTTGCTAAAAAGAAAATCTTATGAGGGGCGCTTATTCAAATTAGAAGGGGCGCTTATTCAAAAGGGGCGCTTAAGGAAATTTTCATGTAATGAGGGGCCGTTATTCGAGAGGGCAAAAGACATGGCCTGGGATTTATAGATTCAAGACAAATAAGCAGATTTTCTTATTAAGTAAGTTTGATAGATCCACCCCTTGAGCATTATCGTGTATAGTAAAAAATTGATCAAATCAAATCAAATCAACATTTATTTCTTTCACAATATAACAATAAAAAATATATAATTTTTAACAAATATCTAAGGTATTATATGTATATACACTGTTTTAGTAAATATAATTTAAATTGAAAGAGGCATGTGCCCTGTAAGTAAAATTAATTGGAAACAAATTCCAATTAAAACTTGTGATGGGCTAGCCAGATAATATATTATAGTAAGTAATAAGTAAATATATAATTAAGAAGAACTAAAAAGACATATAAACATAGAGGAAGCACAATTAATTGATGAAAAAATAAATCAATAAAAAAAAATAAGAAACACGACTGACTAAGTATTACATTAATTATAATTTGAAAGAAGGTATTTTTTAAATTTGTATGAGAAAAGTTTACTTGTGGAGGACAGTGTTATATTGTTAGGAAGATTGTTAAATAATTTAGTACCGCTGTAACGGATATTGTGTTGCATTTGAGTGAGTTTTGGTTGAGGTAAATGAAGTTCATGTGAAGCCCTAGTATTGTAAGAATGTATTTCAGAGTTAGGTTTTTTAATAATAAATGTTTACTGCATTTATGCTCTACATGCATTTATGCTCAACTAAGATGATATTGAATGTAATAATACCTTTATTCATGATGGGGGCTGTGTTTTGGAAAACGAGCCGCATAGGGGGTGAACTCACAGTAGATGTTCAACGTCTATCGTCATGATCACGTGGGGGGGCTGTGTTGGGGACAACAAGCCGTTTATGCGGCTCCTAATAATAGGGGTGAACTCATAGGGGCTGTTTCTAAATCTAACCTTTAAAAGAAGCTCACATACATTGATAAAATTGTGATGTGCCTAACCCTAAGCCTATCGGCGCAAACGCCTAAGATACTTAACCTTAACTCCTATCGTCGCAAATGCCTGATTATTTTTTATCTTTTTCAAATTCGTTTTAAATCTCGTTATTTTTCGTTGACTGACGATTTTTAACTGCCAGTAATCAATGTTTGAAACCTGACAAGTAAGCTGAGATGATACTTCGACCCTTTTGTTTGATTTTGATGTATTGTAAAGTGACGCAGCTAGTGTATTTAAAGGTCCACCACCCGTGCCGGGCAAGGACGAAGGTTTAACTTAGCGGTAGACTAGGCGTAGGCCTAGCCTAGATACATAAGCCCCCTAACGACGGGGCCTAGACCTAATTAAGATTTGCTGATCTTTTACGGATTTTTTGAACGTCACCTTGGATTTTGCTACGGTGTACAACAAAACGTCTATGGATTTGAAATATTCATTACTTTTTAACAATGTTAATACGGTGTACAACAAAACGTCTATGGATTTGAAATATTCATTACTTTTTAACAATGTTAATTTGAGTGATGTCGATGATTGATGATTGATGCCGATGGAATTTAAGATGCAGTTTGCAGGGCGAAAACAAAACAGATCGATCTTGTAGTAGGCCCAGCCTATGGTTAGGATATGCCTCTAGCCTCAGTTATACTACAGTATCCTAGTTGGATTATATCACAATAACAAAAGAGATTTGAAAGAAATTTCACACATTGTTAAAGTGTTGGTCCAATTTATTTGGACAGTATTGGTAATGCCATGAGTAGCCTAGGTCGTGACAAACAGCGAGCCAATGTGTGAGCCATGCGAGCCAGCAAGCCA